GCATAATACACATAATTTCGCCAATTTTGTCTCATAACTGGCATATTTTCTCTTGAATTTAGCTCAACAAAGTGAAACAGGAAGTGACATCAAAGGAGAACTCTTTAAAAAAGAAACTCTAGTTTTTGTTTATTGAAAAAATCTTATTTAAACTCTTCAACTCTGATAGTGACTCAAAACAACCTAAAGAAACATCAAATTCTTCAATTATTGCAGCATCGCTCTGCTTTCATGCAGACATTCCCCTCTGACATCACTTCCTGTTTCTTCACATGCAAATATGTCAACAGCTGTTCATCTCAGCGACATGAAATTTATTTTGCAAAATGTTATCAATGTTCGCTTTCCAAAAATGCATTCATATGTATTACAAAAATTTGATATCACACTTTAATGGTTTTTACAATCATTGACCATGAAGTGAAAGAATCTGTGGAAATTAAAACGAGCAGAAAAAAGATAAAAAAATATGAATTTATGTGAAATATAACCTCTCTGTCCCTTTATTCATATTTGATTCAGGTGCTCCAGCTTCGACCCCTTTAATGTGTGTCGTGCCAATTATATTTCAAAAATGTTTCAGATTTATCTTTTATGTTTCCTGGAAYGGTCGTGTTGAAAACCTTCAGCTGGTTCTGCTGCGAGTCCGATCTGAACCTGCCTGCAGTCGTTTTACTCTCTGCCATTAGCTGTCCTAAACACTCATTAAATGCACTCGTCTGGATCCTTTGTGCTTTTTATTTTATTCAGTTTTTTTTCCCCACACGGTGTCGGCACGTTTGTCCTTGACTCGGGCCGTGAATAAAGATGGCCGCCCATTTGTATGGATGAGAGGGAAGGCGAGGCGGCAGCGGGCGACACGGAGGCCATCATTCTCCAACACTACGGGGCCAAACTGTCAAACGCTGCCGTCACATGATCCACTGCCTGATGCACTCACTTCCTCAAACACACACAGGCACAAATCATCCCCGCTCATTATCACCCTCAGTGTCAGCCGGCAAGATTTACTGACACAATTTACAGCTTTGGCAAACTTTACAACGACTTTATGTTTTATTTTAACGCAAACATTTTTACAGATTTCTGTATTTGTGCTTTCTGTTCAGACATGCAAATRTTTTGTTCTTAATATAGAAAAATAATTTAAAGATGTTTTCAATGTCAGTGAACTGATGCTACGGAAGCCCTGAAAGGCCAGGAGGAAAAAATTATTTTAATTCATGATCAAAATATTAGATTTTTTTTCCATTGTGCAACATTTTTAAAGATGAGCATAAAAAAGTCGTGATGTGCAGAATTTGATCAATCACGCTTTTTTTATTAAGTAGTTCTGACTATAAAAATATATTTA